TAGCCAGGGAATTGAACTTGAGCATGGTTTTGAAAAGTAATAACTCATCGGTGAGTGTTTCCAAATGCATGATTGAACTTGATATTTGAAAGAAATACTTGACTTGTTTGGACGGACAATGGTGTATTTTATCGCACTTTTCCTAATGTGATTTCTTATTGTTTATTGGTTGTTATTGACTTGATATACATGTGTACAACTTGAATACTATCTGGGATACTGGCGAACCATAGGTACTGTTTATTGTTTATTGTTTATTGTGTAATTCTTTGGATATGGTCCACTGGATTCGGTATACTCGAGTACTACCATCACTCTTAATTTGGAGTTCGGGCCCGTAGGGAGTTGATTAGTAGATGAAAATTGGTATAAAGTGGAGATCTACGGTCATGATTTTGCTTTTTTAAATGTTGACGGAGTGTCAACGGGTTCGGATCAAGTAATACAACGAGAATTTGGCTCTTGAGAGCCATCTTTATCCTTATACTTGGAAATGTTGTATATTTAGTCAATTTGTTACTTGTAGTGTTATTGTTTCTTTTTATGAACTTGTACGCTCGCTCATTTTGAGATTTCAAGTTTTACATAATGACCAACTTGCTACTTGAGTCTGCATGAAGTTTTGGAACCTCACTGAGTTTTGCTTCACCCTAATAGTTTTGTTTCCTTACAGGGGAATATGAGCACGGGAGTGAGGTTGGTACAGGCTAGCGTTGTCTAGTTTTTTGAATTTTTGTGATTGTACTCGTACTAGTACTTGATTAGGGTTGGAAGTTAGCTGGAACTTGAATCTTTTATTATATTTGAAAATGTATGAATGTTTGAGATAGAAATGAGTATAAATATACTTTCTAAACATTGGAACCGTTGTTTCCTTTACTTTTGAAGTTGTAACTTATTTTTTTGAAGTGAGTGAGTGAGTCCTGATAAGAATTAAGCAGGCGGTCCGCTAAATCGTGGGGTACGCCCTAGGGAGAGGTGGGGTCGTCAACTTTCTCCTTATAAAATATTTAGGTTTTGGCAAAATTTTAGCTTATATACCCCTACTAAGGGGAACTCAAATAGCCTAAGCAATCTAACTTCAAATCAACCAAGAATCACCTCTCAAGTTCCGTTTCCGCTCACTTGGACTTCAAGAAAAAAAATAGACAGAATTTCATTTGTCTTTTCCCAATTTTCTAGCCATTTTCAAGGCAACATTTTCGTATCAAATCAGCCCAAATCAATACCACAAGTAATAAGATGAATTCGGTTCTCATACTAGCTATAAAACCAACCAACTAAAGCTCATTTCTAGCCTATATACATCACAATATCAAATCTGGAAAATTCCTCATTAAAACTGAAATTATAGAACTAAAACTAAAATTTTCTATTTAGAAGCTAAAAAGTCACAATAAACTACCAATCATCATACAAGTCCATAACCAAGCTCAATACCAACATATCATGGATGAACAACATAAATCAAAGCTGAAAATCATAAACCCTAGGCTGAAATTTCACCAATCTTCATCAAATTTAGGTTATCATCCATAAAATTCCAAGTTTCAAGCCATCTTCACCATAAATTGCAAAATAAAAAAGAGAAAGGAAGTTGTCCAACTTAGTACCTTCAAAACCCCTTGAGAAAGTGAAGAACCAAAGCTTTCCTCTCCAAAAACTCTCAATTACAAGCCTCCTTGCTTCCTTGAAACAACTTTGTTCGGTTTAGTTTTGTGATTCCAACTCAAACAAGGTAAGAATCAAGATGAAGTTGGTGGTTTTTTCTTCTCTCTTTTCCTCTCCTCACTCTTGGCCAAGAAGATGAAGAAACGAAGGAAATTTTGTGCTAGGAAAGATGAGAATGGAAGAAAGTTTCTTGGTCAAAGGTTGCATGGATGGCCAACACTTGGCAAGCCACCAATTTTCCTCTTTTTTTTGGTGAAAAATTTTGGCTAGCCTTAGGGTTAAATTAGGGAAGGATAAATGATAGAAAAATAAGAAGATTAGGGTAAGAAAGTATTAATCAAATGGTGTCTTTGACCGGTACAAATGGCGCAAGTCGGTTCAAGTCTACTTCCTTAACTCTCTTGTACTTTTGTTTTAACTTATGGTTTACTAACTTACTCTAAGCACTTTTTAATCACATACTTCCTCTTGCCTAATACCTATTCTTATCCACCAAATTTAGTACACACATCTCACCAATCGATCACACTACACAAATACGCCAAAATCCTAGCTTACACTTATGATAAAAGTAATAGTAAAATTCTCAATTCTATTATTTATTACAACTATTAAGGGAGCAAATTAGTGGTAAAGAATTTATAAATTAACTTATTCAAAATAAAAGAGGATTATAAGGAAAATATAGGTGAATTTTCAAGTCCTCATACTTCCACTTAATACTAAAAATTTCGAGTTATAATTCTACAAGTAGCCAGACATGAGATAATTTCTCTTTCATAAGAGGTGGTAAATCCTTATATATTATTCACTATCTTTTCCATACTTCAAGTGTATACTAATAAGCTAATGATGTGAGGATTCCCTACTATGAAAACAATTATATAACAAATAAAGTATAATCATCCGTACTCAAGATACCATAATAACTTTAAATCTAGGGCTCACTTACACAAATATTATTTAGAGATTAATCCTTTGGCACTTAAAAGATATCTCTATGCAGATCAATCTAGTGAATTTGATCATTCTATCAAGTAGTAATATATTAATTTAGGTATGTCACACACTATAGTAGATGAGTTCTACTACTTCTTAAATAGAAGCGATATAGTATATGCTAGTCTAACCATATTATTTAAGTCGTGTGATTATTGTATTAGTGGTTGTGATGCATGTTTGTTTAGTGGTTCTAGTATGTTTTGGGGTTGTGTTAAGGGCATGCGAATGCAGCACGGTGTTCATTAATTTCCTACTTATCATCAATCAAGTGAGTTTAGTGCTTATAATTCTTTCATTCCTACTTATACCTCGTTTTTTGTCTTTGACCCAGGCATTGATTCGAGGCCAAATCATTTTCATGCGGGAAGGAATGGTGGAGATATTAGAACTAATCTTTGGCGAATGGAACATGTACATTGGTTCGTGTTTATGATCAAGTTGAGTTGGCGACATGCTTATTGGATTGCTTTTATGCAAATGTTCCCCAATGTGCTTCACTATAAGCAAGACAACGATTTAAGGACAAATCTTTTCAAGAAAAGGGGAATGATATGAGTCCTAAGAGTTTATTGGGCACTATTTCAAGGTCCGACAATGGTTCATTGGGGTCCAATAAATGGGGGTAGGATCAAGTCGTTCAAAGTTCAATACTGGGTGTTTTAAAGCATCAATTTGGTTCGATTTGGTTCAATTTGATGTTGGCACGAACTAGGGATTGTGCATGTGGAACTTAGAAGATATGCATGAGGATCGAGGTCGAAGGAAAAAGCGGAAAAACAAAGTAGAAGCGGATCTGCGAACAAATCTGCGAGGGACAAGTCCATGGATCGGTTCGCAAATCACTTCTTTATGTCTTTTTCTTACTTTTCGTCTCATGTTCTAGCAATGTCTAGTGCCATGTCTGGTCCCATGTTCGGGGTCGATTTTGTCGAGTCAAATTTTTCAATTTTTAGCAATTTTCATAGTTTTTAAGTTATTTTCTATTTCATCGCATCTGATTGGTTCTTATAAGCCTATGAAGGCATATTTAGCATATCTAGATGCAAATATTAGTATAAGCCTATGAAGGCATAGTTAACATATCTAGACACAAATATTAGTATTCTTAGGGTTAGGGACTTATGTCTTATTAGGAAACTTATGCTTTTCCAAATAGGTTTAAGGTTTTGTGATCTTGTAAGGCTATATATAAGCCTAGCTTGCAACGTTTTCTTAAGTTAAGTTGAAGATGAATAAAAAATTGAGAGGTTTCTCTTTCTTATTCCTTGGGAACGTCCTTGATACAAAGTGAGTGTTTTCTTTGTTCGAGTTTAACTTATCAAATCAACAATTATAGTTGGTTGTGGCGCCATTCTACCTTCTAGTCAATCTTGAGTTATCTTTGATTGTTTAGAATCCATCTAAATTGTTCCATAACCTGATCAAGATAGATCATTCCATTGCCTATTGAATCGTTTCTTGAAGAACAAGAATTTGGAGATTCGAGTTCACATCATGATACTTTCTAGTTGCCTTTCCATTCACGCTCTATTTCCTTTTGCACTAACTCAAAATCACCAATGATGCTTTGCCTTCACTTGCCACCAATAATATTTCTCGGTACCTTCTCTAACTCATTATTTAAAGCTTGGAAATGCTTTTTTTTTTTTTCAAAGATTGAAAAGCATTGTTTTCAAGTGGGACGCTTTACTTGAGTCACTTCAGAGCCTCACGAGATTAAACAATATATATTTTTTGAATTTACCTAAGTTCATTTTTTAGTGGACGAGTCTCTCTCTTATTTTTAATTATGAAAATTGCTTATTACATCCTTGTTTTGTCTTACCACCCTAGCACTTAACCTTATAATGGAACCATAATTTTGTCAACCTATAGGTACTCTTTGGGATACGAATGACTTAGACATTACGTTATAACTTATATTTGCTTACTTTTGTTGGTCAAATAGTCGATGACTTCTAACCATTTGTTTTAACTTTTCATATCTCTTTATGAAATAGGAAGACACTTCGGAATTTTCCTAGTACAATGCTAAAATTCACAGTGGGGAAGCAAAGTAAATTTTGGTAATAATGTGAGGGTGCATATTGCATTTAATTAGAATTTTCCGATCTCAATGCTAAAATCCAGTGTGTCAGTGTACAGTGTAGGAGCAAGTAAATTTTGGTTATAGTCCAAGGGCGCATGTTGCAATTAATGGTTCAACTGTTATCTCTCCATGTTTTCCCTCTTACGATTCGTCATTTGAATTTCAGCCTAAAATCTGTTTGCCATTTGAGTTCAGTATTAAAAGCCCAAATTTCATTGCAGCAAAAAGTCGAACAGATATGGCGGATTCGACAAGGTTCGAAGTGGAGAAGCTCATCGCATATGGCCACGAACTTGTCGACTTCCTGAGGGACGACGGGGACAACATCACTCTCAAGCAATATTTCCAGCAAGCCCAATCTCTCCACTCCCGTGCCCACGCCGATTTCAACGGCCTGCAACGTTCCATACAAGGTCCAATTTCTTTCTCGAAAGAATAAGATAGGATATTACGCTTGCAATTTTGATTATTTGCTGACGAACCAAGTATGGTTTTCCCATTTTTACTAAATGTGAATTGGGGCATGTTTTGCCAATTAACAGCAATAAGGTTTGAATTTTACCTCCTGCTAGTTTGCCTCTGGAGTTTTAGGTGATGGTTGATGTGGATTAGGGCATTTTCAGAAAATGTAATTTAGGGCACGATTTTTCCTGTTATAGTGATAAAGTTCGAATTTTGCTTGCATTTGACGGTTGATGATTGGTTTGTTAATGTATAATTTGTCATGCAATTTTTTGGCTGATTTTGTGAGACTGAATTTTTAGCTAATTTGCTGCTTGGACTTGGTTAAGTTGCATTTCGCTAGTGGTCTGGGGTACTAATCACTGAAACACAATCGATTGAATTGCTTTTCCAAAATTGAACTCGCTGTATATGTGCATTGACAACATTTCACATGTTTAATTTGATTGCATTTTCACTCTTCGGTTGAAGTGTCCTTTTGACTATCTGTTACTTTAGATTCTTTTTGTTTCTCTCTATATTTGTTGGTCAGCGTCAGTGTGGTAGATGACAGCTTCTCAGGTATTGCTAATTAGATGAGTTTACTTGAAACAGAATGTCAAACAAAGCTAGAAATATGCAGAAGCAAAACTACAGAATCAAATTCCACTGTAGTTGCAGATGAAGAATCAGATTTGCTAGCCAAGGAGCTGGAAGAAAGAGAACATCAGCTGAGGGATGAGCTTAGATAAGTATCTCTTCATTTCAGTGAAATCCTCCATTTTTGCTCTGTGTCGGTGGTATTGATTTCAGATTCGCATTAAATATCAACACAGTGATTATAGATGAAATTAATGATCTTGAGCAACAGAGCGAATCTATTGAAGAACGAAGAAAATCACTGAAGAAACTTGAGCAAGAGGACCTGAGGAGAGAGTAAGTTGATGGAGAAATTTGGATTTGCATTTGTGCGTTAATCTTGCTTTGCAAGGTTTTTTAACAAACTTTTTCCTTGCTTTTGCTTTTAGTTTTATTTACTCTTGGATGTAATTTGTGTGGTAGATTAATTTTTTTGGTGACATAATGTGCAGCAGAATATTAGCTCAACTGTACTTGCTGTAGATATTTATAATTCCCTTCTAGTGTTAGATCAGAGTTCAAAAAAATAGTTGTTATAGTTTTTCTTTTTGTCATCTCAATCTTTCAGTTCTGTTGATTTATCCCCCCCTAAGATGTGGATATCCGCAGGTTCCTCTGATTAGTCTTAGGTATTTGAAGGAAGATTTTACCGAACTTTGACTACTGTTATTTCAAGCCTGTTTGGTCCTTTTCGATTCTGCATAATTCATGCAACATAAGCAGTTGATTTAGTTGTTTGTTAATTTTTAGTCTTTGCAAGCAAATGTAGTATATTGTCTTTTATGTTCTAATAATGTATTACGCTACTGTGTTCCTTTGTAAGCACTTTTAGAAGAACAAACGCATTGTTAAATTTTTTTTCTTGGATTTTGTTATGTAGAAAATTATGTTTCTTTTGTTTGCTTGTCTCATGTGTTGTTAAACGTTCTACTTATTTCAAAGGTTTGTTGAGATTTTAAATTGCTGATATTCACTTCTTTTCATCTTGTAGGATGAAATTATCCATGTATGCTTCTGTCACTAGCATTGTTCCAAGCCTGGACGATCAGTCCAAAATATCTGGCCGTATCCTTCCAATTGTCTTTGGTATCTGTTTGGTAATTTCTCACTTTGTATATTGATTACAAGAAGGCTTCTTTGCTTTGGTCTGCACACTTTCCTATTACAGTTGTTTTACCCTTTATTTAGTCAATTCAGATATTGTGGAGAGGGAGGAAAAAAGAGTAGAAAAGTTTGAACTCGATCCGGTGAAGCAGACTACCTTTGAGACTTGCAATGGCATCTGGAAGATGATAAACTTGTGATAAATCTGAGTTGTTTCCACATTTAAGTCGGTTTGCAGTTTATATATTTATGTTTTGGCTCGTTGCCCAGTATGAAAACTTGAGCTCTTGGAATCCTGAAGTTGGTACCCATTTGGCTTGCAGCTAATGGCTTGGTTTGAAAATTCAGTTTCCTGGAACTTCGTTTGTTTTGCAGCTTCATGACTTTAGTTTCAAAGCTCAATGTCCTGCATCTTTCTATTACTATTGTGTTTTCCTACATTGGAAAAGCTGAGCCTGGAGACTTTTTGGTTCTTTTCCAGTGCTGTGTGCTGCATCATATTTGAAGTGTTGTATTTTTGCAATGAATGCAGATCTGTGACTATTGGTTTTGTCAATCAGATTGTTAACATAATTTGCATTGTCTAAAAACAATTATCATCCCTCTGTAGCATTATCTTTATGATAGAAAGATGACTAATTTAATACATTTGAATTGTCTCTATTCAATTTTCTTTTCCAAAAGAACTAGTGTGCTTTGTGATCTTTTGTGACAGAGGCCAGAATGGGGCTTATTGACTCGTGAGTAAGATTTGTTTATGAATGTTCCAGCAACTAGGCTTCAGTTCCAAGTGAAGAAGCAAAATACGTGTTTCACCAGTTATGTATCTCTTCTTAAGTTGAAATTCTTAGCAAATTTACAGACTACAGTACCAGGAAGCTCCTGTCGTGTGATGAAGTTAATCTTCATGGACTTTGACAGTTTGACCTACAAAATGGGTGGATAAAATGATCAAAGCTATCTGTGCAGTAAAACGCAAGATATCAAGTTCACTTTCCTTCCAGGTATCAGTATATTATTATGTTGAATTTCACGCATACAGCTTGCTATCATATGTGTTGAACAATATGTATCGGTAGCAGAAGCATCCTGAGTATAATTTCTACTTACATATGCTAAAAGTGTGATACATAATTCTTTCACTGCAAAGAATACTATATATCAGGTTATTAGTTCGAGAGAAGATATCTGGTTGCAGTTGTATGCTTGGCCATTGCGTGTTTGTAAACTGCTGCAGTTAGGAGAAGATGAATTATAAAGTGGAAGAGATGGAAACAGGAAAAAGCAAGAAGAATGACTTGTACTGTTGGTAGCAGCTGGGAGTGTAGAGGCAGGGATGCAAGAATGCAAGAATACAGAAGAAAAAGGAGTCTTGAGACAGATATGGTATGTGTCACTGTAATTTATTGATACTGAGTTTCGTAATATCGATTAGTGGTTTACTGGGGCCTTCTCTTAAGTTGAATGATGTTACAATTATGGTCAATAACAACCTTTTTCAATATGCTGAAGGGTAAAATGGCCATATTATGTTTAAAATGAGCTCCATGCATCCTGAACAAATAAGGTCAATCTAATTATGCAAGTGAGTTATTTATCAAAATAGATCAGTACCTTATGGAATGCCAGTATGATTTACCTAGTTAATAGATCAAGCCATGAGGCAGGCTTTAAAAGGCCACTCCCTGGACACTTGAACAACCCCCAGTAATTGGAACTTAATCAGTTGACCATCCCAATTTTAAGTTAATGCCTTTCATGTACACGGTAATTATGTGATTTGAGTTTGACAAGAGAATTTTTTAAGTGCTCTAGTTGATCATTTTTTTCTGCTAAAAGCATGTTACTGTGCGTGAGATCTACTAGTGATTTAGTTGCATTTGTTCTGAGCATTGAACCTCTAAGACAAGGAGAATTCCTAAATTTTAACCTAATGGGATGGCTTGAAAAAGTGGCGATCTCCATGATCGTTTATCTCAGGCCAAGGAAAAATAGAGTTCATATGTTTGAAAAAAAATTTTCTTCTTAATTTTGAAATAGCTAACAAAATTGAAAATTAGTATAAGGGTATAAAAAGAGTAAATATGAGAATATTATGGTAGTGAAACTATTATTAAATTCGCATAAGAGTTAAAAAGCTCATATATAGTGCTAATGTAGATTTCTATCAACAAGTTAAAGCCAGTAATATGACTTCAATAAAGAACTTGACCTGTTGTTGTCTTGTTGAAAAATAATTTTATTTATGGTCAAAATAAATTTGCTTTCCTTTCCTAATTTACTAAGTCTCCATTCATTGCATGCTTCCTGATTAACACACTATCTGATGTGAACTATAACATTCTTCAATTGGTCAGCCTGCTTTAATCGTTTTCTGCATTTGCGGAATCTTCAATATGAAGTGTCTTGTAAACACATTATCCATAGTAGCATAAGCAACCAAATTACCTTTCGTACATACTTCGTGGTCTATGCATCTTTTAACAAACTAGTCTTTAAATGACATTTTCTTTTTCTTATGTTTAAGCTACAGAAGAAAGAAAAGAAAAGCCGAACTCAAACTGACAAGATTGGAACTGATGTAACTGATTGCCAACAAAAAGTAGTATTCAAAAAGTCAGGCAGAATACAAGGGAAAATGCTCTTCCAAAAGGACAAATTCATGGATTGTTTTTGGTATGGGCACATTTTTCCCACCTTACTAGTGAGCTAAAAGGAACATGGACACATTTTTTGTAGTACCTTAACATCCATCGGATGGGATGAATTCTCATTTTAAGATGACCTGTTGCCTGAAAGAAGCTAGAAACATTTATAGATAATGGATGAGTATGTACCCTTAGCAAGAATTCAACTTCTTCTTAGATCAGCTGCCTTGGCTTTAATTGCTCTTTCTCCTTCACCTAGTAATGTGGCAGCTAAGCCACAGTTTGCAGCTATGTTTGTATTTGGTGATTCGTTAATTGATCCTGGAAACAACAATGATCTTAACTCTTTGGCAAAAGCGAATTATGCTCCTTATGGCGTGGATTTCAATGGAGGAGTACCGACTGGCAGATTTTGCAATGGAAAAACCATCATAGATTACTTGGGTAATTATGACCATTAACTTTTGACTTTATTTTCAGCTTTAGAAGGTTATGTAAAACCGAGGTAGATTAGCAAATGTTACACACACACACGCGCACGCCCACACCCACATACAACGATAAAATAGTTGTTTGAAATACCAAAATAAGATTCTCTATGCCCATTGGTTCACTGGAAGGAAATCATGAAACACTCTCTTCACTTGTCTCGCATCAAGGTTTGATTGTTGATACTTCCTACGTTGCAGAAAAAGCTCACTGTGAAATTTTTGGATGAAAATTTTTTGCAAGTCTTTTCCTCTCAGTAGTAATGGGAGGGCTCTTAGAGTCCTTTATGTAAAGTTCAGGGTTAGGATTTTGGACTTGACAATTGAAGGTGGGAAGGGTGCGAGAAGGGGTGGGAGGGTGGCAAGAACAAACAAAATTTTTTTTTCCTCATTGTCTTTCATAGCTTTTAATCAGCAAAACTTGGCTACCTTCTTTTTTGGAGAACAAACAAAAAAGAAAACAGAGAGACGAAGACACCTCAAATGCTGATTCTCTTTCTAGGACAATTATAATTGAGAAATTGATTAAAAATTGAATTAAAATTTATTTTTTTCGTAGGACAATTACAATTCGAATGTTTTATATAGAATAAAGACCAAATCTGGAAACCAAAGCACATAAAGAAGAAAAGGAAAATATATTTGCTACGATGAAAACTATCACCTCAAAAAAAAAAAAAAAAAGGGAATAACTTAAGTTGAGAATTCAATCAAGTATTACATGAAAAAAGTTCAAGAGGTAAAATCTTATGCCCTTCTTGCAAAAATCATACTTTATGCTGTTGATCAGGCAATAGATTTTTCTCAATTGGAAATTTAGCTTTATCAACACAAAAAAGTTGTCAACTCTTTTCCTGATGAAGGATGTTAAAACGTGGTATTCCTCTACTAATTTATTCAACTCCTGGTTATTTTCCCCTTGCTTCTGAAGGAGACTTGCTGGAACTTCCTTTACTTCCACCGTACACGAGTTCATCTGTTAATAGTGGAAACATTCATGGGGGAGTGAATTATGCCTCTGCTGCAGCAGGAATTCTTGAGGAGACGGGACAAAATCTTGTAAGCTATTGCTTTTCCCTTCTCTTAAAAGAAAGGAATATGGAACCTGTTGATTACACATCAGAAATAAAACCTAAAATTCGTCCTCTGGTCGTGTTTGTGCCCTTAATAGAACCAGAAAAAAAAATTCAATAATTTTTAGATGCCTTTCAGTCGTAATATGGTCCTCCAATTGGAAAAAGAAGTACATTAGTCATTTCTCACATGAAATCTGCTCATAATTGCAATGGTTATTAGTAAATACTTTTAACTAAAGATATAAGATAAAAGTGCAACTCCTATTTCCTATTTCCTATTTCAGAGCGGGTAGCTAGTAAAGGTCATGTAACATTGGTTTGTTTGTATTTCACCCTACACTTTCTCTTGTAATATTTCTAATACCATGTGGTAAATTGTACAGGGTGAAAGGTTCACCTTAAGTGGACAAGTCCAGAACTTCGACAACACCTTGAATCAACTTAAGGGCCAAATGAATGAGCAGGAGTTGAGTCACTATTTGGCCAGTTCCTTGGTTGTAATGGTCCTTGGTAGTAATGACTACATAAACAACTATCTACAACCTTCATTTTACACCACAAGCTATTTTTATACTCCTGAGGACTATGCTGATCTTCTCATTCAGCGTTACAGAAGGCAAATATTGGTAAGAGTGTCAGAAATTCACTTCAATTGTTTGATTAATTCAAAATAGGGCTTTACAAAAGATTGTTCAACTAAACCATATTTGCCCTCTGTGGGAAACTCAGTGACTTGTAAGAGTTTGCAATTCAAAGCTGGGATGGTCAATTGGCTTGTGCTATGTTCAAACTTGCAGTGAAATATATGGTTACCATCTGACACTAAAACATGTATAAATTTCAATATGGAACCTATAGACGCCCTCGCACTTTAGTCATTAGATTTCAATATTAGACACTTTACTCCGTAAAGTATGAAATCCATCATACTTTAATCCTTAAATTCTAGTAATTTTGAATAATTATACCCTAAAATATAAATTTCATCCCACTTTAGTACTTAAAATTTGAGCATCAATTGTCTACCATTCCATTAGTTTTGAAGTTTTATGAGAAATTCTTCATACTTTAGGAGTTGAAATGTCCAAAATTGAAGTTGAAGGACTAAAATAGAATCAATTTCATACTTCAGAGAGTAAAGTGTCCAAAATCAAAGTTTAAGGCCAAAGCTGTAGTGCATCTATAGTTCATGGGTCTAAATTGGAGTTTAACCTTAAAAAAAATATAAGATGTTTAGACATTAATTTCTTGCTTGCTTGAACATCAAGCCCAAAATTCTGCTCGTGGTTTCTGCCATTAACCATCTCTAAGTACAAATTTAATCTTTGTAGGCGTTGCACAGTCTTGGAACGAGGAAGTTCTTTTTGGGTGGAATTGGACCACTTGGCTGTATTCCTAATCAGCTGGCAACTGGTCTTTCTTCACCAGGGAAGTGTGTGTCCTTTGTGAATGATTATGTTGGAATGTTCAACGTGCGCCTAAGATCTCTCGTTGATCAGTTTAACAGAGATTATGAAGGGTCAATCTTTGTTTATGGCAACACTTTTGCAGCACTGGGTGATATAATAAGAAACGCCTCTACTTATGGTAAGAACATAAACACCTTGCCATAATTTGCTTTTATATATATATTTAATTTTTATTGCAACGGCACATGTCTAACTTACTCCTACTCCTACCGGGGGGCGGGGGAGGGGGAATCTATTCTATGGGAAGACCCAACTGAGCCGAGGGAACCTGACGGGAACTGAACCACCATCAGACCAGATGGGTGCACCAGACACCCGTATGGATTTAGAACAAACCTCTTATATTGAGGCACATTAATGGGAGGCCAACTCCTTTAGAGGGAGTTGGTTTGCTATAACTTGCTTATAGTTACCACAGTTTCGTGAGTTGTGTTTGAAATATTTAAACTTTTCCTTGAACACTCGCCATACAGATTTTACAAAATGGTAAGTGTTGGAATTAATCCCATAATCAAATATCGGTTGATTCTGCTAACGGGTAATTGCTAAGAGGGCTCAACTTCTCAGATGTTAACCTTTTATCAGAAGTGAAGGTAATTTGACAAAATATCTAAATACAAAGGGTGTAATAAGGATAAATATGTGTATTCTCAGCCCATTAGAAAAATCCATTACGTATTACATAATAGGATTTTGGTTCAATAATAATGGATTAATCTTCTGTAGATCGCATATGAAGATATAAATTTATGCACTGTATTTCTAGATAAAACTAAATATCTTGTTATTTTGTCCCATAAATCTAGTGCTAAAGTACAAATTCTTATACCCGATGTGTGTGGTAATATTGTAGGTATTACTGTCACTGATAGAGGCTGTTGCGGTATTGGAAGAAATCAAGGGCAAATAACTTGCTTGCCATTTTCCAGTCCTTGCACTAATAGGAATCAGTACATCTTCTGGGATGCTTTCCATCCAACAGCAATTGTGAACCAAATTCTTGCTAGCAAAGCTTACGGTGGAACACCTTCTGATTGTTATCCTATGAATGTGCAACAAATGGCACAAAAATAATTTGTCATTTGTTTATGGTTTATAATATGTGGAGGAGATACTATGCCGATCAAGAAGAATAATTGCGTTAATTTTCTCTTCCATTTCCTTTAGTAAAAAATAGTGCAAAAAAATCATATTTCAAAGATAATTTAGGAATCAAATGATGATTATTACTCCTGGCTATTTGAATCTGAAGGATAGTTAGCAAAAGAGCGAGAAAATTCTCTCTTTTATCTCTCTTCACAAGAACTACAGTTTCACATGTTCAAAAGTCATAATTCTAGAAAAAAATCTGAAAAAGGAAAAGCAACTTATTGTATGACTCCTTTTAGTTTTTGCTCCTCTATCTTCTCAATTTAGGGAAAAGTATTTTTTACAAATGAGTATTTCTAATTAAAAACCTTGCATATTTCTATCATGCATTAGAATAGAATAATGCTGTTAGACCATTTTAGAGTAATTATAGATTGACGAAAGTTAGCATTTCAGAAGCGGCATTGTAAAAAGTCTCAAAAATCTAAATGACTTCAAGTTTTCACTCTGCCACATGAGATTTACAATGACAGCTACATAAATTGTTTACAATTAATAATCACAATTTTAATAATTGAGGATTACATATTGGGAAAATGACCTATTTCATCCCTCACATTTCGCAAAAATATTGTTTTCGTCCCTCACTTTTAAAATGAAACAAATTCGTTCCTGGCATTTAAAAATTAAAGCTATTACATCCCTGAACCTAATTTTCAATCTGAATCAAACCATCTAATAACCCAGTAATAAATTTCGAAAATAGAATTGATAGATCATTCGGTCAATTTCATCGTATTCACATGACATTTATTAAACCAAAAAAATAGAAATTATAACATAAAAGGCCATTCTTTGTCTTGGAATAGTAGAGTTTTTTTTTTTATAAATCTTTTCATGTACCATTAGTATATCCGCTTGTGAATCTAGATGTGTATCATAAATATAAAATTTTGTGTTTAAATTTAAATTAAAATGATATGGCGGTACATAAAACCGTCAGTGTATACAATGATAATGTAGAAAAGATTAATCTTTCTTTTTTATATTATAATTTTTCTTTTTTCTTTTTAGGTTCATTAAATTTTACATGAATATCAAGTTGAGTTAATCAAGTGATCTACCAATTACACCCCCAAAATTTGTAATCAGGTTGATTGGTGGTTTGATTCAGATTGAAATTTGGGTTCAGGGATGTAATAATTTTAGTTTTTAAATGTCAAGGACGAAATTGCTTCATTTTAAAAGTGAGGGACGAAAAGAATATTTTTGTGAAATGTGAAGGATGAAACCGATCATTTTCCCTTACATATTTATACAATTTTACAATGACACGTACATAATTGAGGGCTGCATATGTATACAATTTTAATAATTACCAATTTCCCGATAGCTATTAGTACATTCATGATTCAACCATGGCATATAGGTTGAATGGTAAGATTTTCAAAAGTTCCTCCAATTGAATTGATTTTTACGATTTAAATGCTCTTTCTAATAAAAAGATAAAATTGATGCTATGCTCCGATCACTTTCTTACCTTTTAATTATACAGATTTAGGTAAATTGAGGAAAAGTTGGAGAAACTAAGTTAAGAGGTCCAAACTCCAAACCTTTGTTTTACTATCCTTAATGGCACGTTTACACTTCTGATGGGCAGTCACCTGTGTAATCTCCCTAAGAAAAAGTCTATTTTAAATTGAATGGAAGAGGAATTGATGTTATCCTCTTTTCCATATTATTTCCTAAGGGGAAAAAAAGAAGAAGAAGTGGTTATTTGATCTAGATTCTACCTGTTGATACTCTTTTAGTGATAAGGTGTTCTAAAGTAGATTTAGTTTGATAACGAAATGCAGTTTAGTTAGTAAAACGTTTCACCTGTAACTGATAAGTTACGAAGAGCCATCCAGGAGGTAAGCAAGGAACTATTATTGATCATCATTTTTTTTTTAAAAGAAAAAGGCAAGGTAGGTTTAATTTTATTGTTGTAATTATTATTTTCTAAGAAAAAAAAAAAGAAGAAACAGTGGTTATCCGATCTAGGTTCTACCCGTTGATACTCCCTCGATGATAAGGTGTTCTAGGTAGGTTTAGTCTTCGTCTTGTAGTTATTTGTACATATCTATAATGTACAAATTGCAAATTTTAGAATCACTTAAAGCACTTGACTTACAAGATCAAACATCCTCAACTGTTCTAGTTTAAAAAGGGGTAAAATACATGGAGCCCCTCATGGTATCGTCGAAAGATATAGTCCCCAATCTTTGAAATCCCCCCCCCCCCCTTCCCAACACACACACACCATATATAGTCCCCCTTTATACTTTTAATTAAAGTGAAATTTGACTTTTAACCGGTTTATGACCTGTAGATGACATAAGACTTTTCAATATTAAAAAAAAAATAGAGACAGACAATTGAGGGACTTCTTCAGTCAAGACTCAAAATTAGTATGTCAAATTAAGATTTAAAAAAACATAGTCAATTGAGGGAGTGCTGGGACTACTTAGGAGGTCCGAGCGGCTGCAATTTCATTAAGATCTATCACACTTGAGAGGATATTGGAAGTGAGACTACTCTATTATTTCGTGCAATAAAGTTAAGAGGCACGTTAATAAGTGATATTCAAACATCAATCGGTTTTTTCTAGCCGTTTATCAATGATTAGTCAACGACTATGATAAAAAAAAAAGGGTATAATTATATAACATAATCTGTGTTTTAAAACTTAACCTAATCCTAATACATGGTAAATTACTAGTTGATTAAAAAATTTTCTCTTATAAAAAAAATTTCAATTTAAAAATTAATCACTGCATTTGCTTCTAATGTGGCAACCATTATATCCAAATGCAAAAAATTCACTTTAGACATGGATAAAAAAAAAAAAAAAATTTCCCATCCTTCTAGAACCACAAAAAAAAAAAAAGAAATAAAAACAATATTTCATGGTCGCCACATTTCGGAAATGCGGTGGTCCTAAGTGGGAAATCTAATCCTAAAAAACACCATAATTGAGATATTTTTTGAATTCATCAATATTTCTAGAAATTTGTCCAAGAACCACGTGTTTAGTTTGTTATGTCAATATCATTTTGCTTTTGTGGATCTAAGGAGCTTGACCAACTGTTGCTATTTGCTAGTCAATCTGGAGCCCACCTCTGCAAGAATCGTATGTTTTGTGGACCAGGGCTTGAACGGTTGCACACGGATTTGAAAATGAAAGCGCAAATTACACGACGGTTAACTTCAAATTTTGTCCACCATTCTCCCTTCAAATTTTTTGTTTTAACTTCTTTTATCTAGTTAACAATGGTAGTAGTAATTGATATTATAGAGCAATAGGAAGTTCCGTATTATTTCAAAATCAAGAAGTTGAGGAATGTGGCTTTTGTTAAACCTAGAAGAGAGGTGCGTATAATTTACCCAAATAAAGCTTTTTTTTTTATGTTCATTATTAATTTATTCATACGTTATTTTCTCTTTTTGTTCTGTAATCTCTCTCTCTCTCTCTCTTCCTTGTTGGCTCTTCTTTCTCAATCTTTCACAAAAGAACAAACAATGGTGGTTGTGGAAAAGAACAAACTATTGCGGCGTCGTAATGCCTATTTTCCTTTTTTTTTTTTTTTTATTTCACAAAAGAGCAAAATGGTGGCTGCGGTAATCGACCCCGAGCACAATTGTGGCTGGTAACCGTTAGCGGACCAGGAAATTGACGCCGAAAATGCCCGCAGCCACATGATATGCCGTGGACACGCGTGCTTCAGTTGGGATCCACAGCGAAATCCATGCAAACACGAGAGACACGCCGATTGTGTCAAATCTCAGCTTCTAGTCTATGTCCAAAAAAAAAAAAAAAAAAAAAAATCTCAGCTGCTAGTCTGGATGAAGTTTCAAAGTTGAGTACTGTCAGTCACCACCAAGCCCTTAAGGTTTGATTTGATAGAGTGAGAGTTAAAGAGTTCAAATCTTATCTCTTATTAATTGTTACAATACGTGATTTCTTTAAATACAATGATGAATTAGTCCCCATTAATCCCCCCGTAGGCCTAGTTAAACCTTTTTTCCTTAGGTTAGAACAGATTAGGATAATATAGATAAGACGACGATAACAACAAAAAGAAAAGTGTCAAATCCATGCAAACACGAGAGACACGCCGATTGTGTCAAATCTCAGCTTCTAGTCTATGCCAAAAAATAAATAAATAAATAAAATCTCAGCTCCTATTCTGTATGAAGTTTCAAAGTTGACGCTAGGAAAAATGTCAATTTCGTCCGTAAACTTTTTTGTCGTATCAATTTAGTTCATGTATAATTTTTGTGGCCAATTTAATTCTTATACTTATTTAGCGGTTTCAATTGAGCAACGTCGCGACGGCACCACCACGTAAATTCAATCAAGTCACTAATTGAGCAACTAAGCAGGGTATTTCGAGTAGTTGACTGTTGGGACACAGTAACAAAAGAAGAATTTTTTGCCGAAGATATAAAGCCAGTGCTTCTTCTTGTCATTTCCGCATGACAATCACAAAACAGAGAGCATCTTGTATTCAAACCAAGGCTCTAGCAAACAAGCGGAATATAGAAATCCTGTTTCCCAAAAACCCATTAAAAAGACAGCAAAGAGTTGCATGGAAAGACAAAAAGATCCGAGCTTGATGATTTATTCATTTGCATTCTCCCATTCTTCGACCAATTAACCAAGTTGCTATATCCGCCTCATAATTGTGACACACCAGTAAAATCATCTTTGCAAAATTGTCAAAATCCCATTTCATCAAAATCAAGAAGCAACAGAAAATTCCCGAATTTTAGAATCACTCCACGAGATAAGGAAGAAATGGACGCACCTGTCGTGGTAAAACTGAAGCAAGAAAGGGAAAGTAGCACCACAATGGCACATGCTGTAAATTTGGCTAGAGATCTAAAGCAGGAAGAATCCATATTTGTTTCAGTAGCAAGTTTTCTTGTTTGGCCACCGCTCAACAGCACAATTTTGTGCCGAAGACCCATCAGTGAACAACCAAAAATACCCTTGCTCAATTAGTAACTTAATTGAATTTAGATGGTGGCGCCGCCGTGGCATTCCTCAATTGGAACCGCTAAATAAGTATAGCGATTAAATTGGCCAAAAAAATTATACATGAACTAAATTGTCACGGCAAAAAAGTTTAGAGACGAAATTGGCTATTTTCCCTTGACGTTGCTGTTGGCGACCACCAAGTCGTCCTTGAGGCTTGGTGAGGTGTAGGGTTTAAATCTTACGTCCCACCAATTATTATAATATGTGATTTTTTTCAATCCAATAGTGATTTAATCCACATCGATCCCCCGTAGGCTCAGTTGGGCCTTCCCCTTAGGTTAGAACGGAGTAAGATAATATAGATAAAATGACGTAACAAAAAAATTATTTTTTAATGTGCATAAAGAACTTCTATGCACATGAGGTTTTGAATCCACGGATCTCGTATTTACAATCCTTCCTATTTTATCACCCAACGCAACCCTCCCTCCGTTTATTTATTTATTTATTATAAGTGGGAGGTTTTAAATCTAGAACTTTCAACTTACAATCTCTCTCATCTTATCACATATAATTAAATCATTTATATCATGCAAAGAAATATTGCAGTTCTCTGATTGTCAATTTTATTGCGCCAGATTTTAGGTCTAGTCAAGGACTTAACCAACCCAATCTTTGGACTCATTAGACGGAATGGCCAATCCACCAAACTCCATCCCTCCCAACTCTATAAGTTAGCTTTAATTTTGTTCCTCCTTCCTATTATATATGATTCACTACCTTTATTTTGTTAAACTTTTTTTAACACTAACACATAATAAGAAGGCATATTCCACCTTGAAAATTGCTTAGATTTTGATTTTATGGAATTGAATTATGTAGACATTGCTATTTACATCATTATTAGTAATTGAAAAATTTTGATAGCTAGATTAAATTTTAAATTGTAAATTAATAGTCTCCCACACTTGTAAAATGTTTGAAAACACTCCCTATTACAATGCAAACATTTATTTTTCCTCGTTTTTGCTATGTAAACATATGTTTTTTAAAACTATGAAAATAGCATCAAATAAACTTAAAACTTAGGGTCTATAGAATAGGTGACTCGTTAAGATATATTTCAAGTATCATATTTTCGAAAATGTAAGATTAATTAGGAAACATAAACAAATATAAGAAAAGTATATAAATACAGGGAGGATAATAATTATATCATATCTATACACATATAATATGTTATATGAATTTTAAATACATTAACTGGGCATCTATTTAAAAAACCTTAAAACTTAAAAGCTAAGGTCATTTTTGTCAAATAAGTGCATAAGATGTGGATTAAGTACGGAGAAGTATGGATTTAGATAGGGGTGGGCAAAAAATCTGAAAACTCGATCGACCCGCTCCAAAAATTAGGATATCCGACCCGATTTTTATCAGTGGATCAGATAGGGTCGGGTACCCATAATATTTGGATACGGATACGGATCATAAAACTAAAAACCCGCGGGTATCCGACCCGAGGGTATATTGTACAAATATTAAAAAATATAGGGGTAAATTTATAATATTTTAAAGTTATTAACCCTAACATATCAGTCATTCAATTGGAAGCGTAGAGTCTTCACTTCAGCACTGCCGACACTCCTTCAGACTTCAGTCCTTCTAGTTCTGGGCTTCTGGCCGCAACGCGGCAACGGGCAACGGGCAGCTCCTTGCCTCCTTTCACCATTTCTTCTTCTCATTCAATTGTTTCCTAAACACCATATGGCTGCTGTCCAAGCAGTTGGAGTCCCCATATACTGCAATTCGGCCCCCACGAACCTCCAAAAGACCAAGAATTGGAGAATCTGCCTGCAATAACCACAAACTATAACTAAGTGCATAGCACAAGGTCCTGAAGTGAAACAAATTGGCTTGCATATCATGTCTCAAAATGGTCAAACTCCACACATTCACTTTTCTGCTCAATCATTCTGTTTCTACTCAATTCCATTTATTGCTTTTGTTGTGCTTTTCTTACTCTGTTTGGTTGCTGATGCAAAGGAATGTCGAATACACTTGATGTCCAAATAAGTTTTTTTTTTGGTAGGGGTGGGTACCCTATGACCCGCCTCTATTTTTCGGGTATCCGAGAAAAATGGGAGCGGATTAGGATCAAAAAATTAATAATTTGACATATTAGGGTCGGGTCAGTCAATTGTCGTTCAGGACGGATATCCGACCTGTGCCCACCCCTAGATTTAGATTTAGCCCTCACGATAACTTAACCTTAATCTTTAAAACGCTAGAAGGAATGACTGGTCCACCAAAATAATTCCTTCTCAGTCCTGCTAATTTGTGCTTCTAAAAGAGACAAAAAGTAAGCATCAATGGCTGCGTGACTTTGGTCGTGGCAAGCATTATTCTTCACTCCGGCAGCCCAAACGAGAATAGCGTTTAGGATGACTAAACAAAGATTTAAATCTTGAAAACAACTTATTTACTCTCAAACTCAAGGCGATTTTTCCAAGTAATTAATTTTCAATGGGGTAAAAGGGCACAAGTCATCAAACTATTTTAGAATCTTCCTTAAGTCCTGTTTGAATTTTTTTTTAGGAATTTTTATAAAAAATATACGGTAACGATTTGACGTATATTATGAAGTAAAAAGATAATTGATAAATATAGTCCCCTAAAATATAAAAATTATTGTGCGGAAACTAACAATCCAAACTAGTTTTTGTTCCAATGTACCCACTGAACTTCTAAAATTGATCACAGTGTTGTCTACTTCATCAATTAAACTATTTTTGCTGGCTAAAATTTTGCATGTGAAGTGATTTTCCATTACGTCCACTTTACTATTTTTCCAAAAATCTCAAAATCTAAAACCAACTAATCAATTAATTGTCAAGTGGACCGACATCCATAGATCTCTTTTAACAATTCATTGTTTGTCAAGTGGCCCTACATCCATAGATCTCCTGCCTTATAAGTACGTAGGCAGCATTCATGACTCAAATCGCTCAAAGAAAGAACCATTCATCTCCGTGAATAACATGGACATTCTTTCTACCATCTTAGTCGCACTATTGCTGCTATCTCTTCTATCCAGCAAGAGTCTTTTCAAACACAAAAGAGCGAAGGACATTGTACAGAGTGTGAGAAACACTGCTCCAGAAGCACCTGGAGCTTTACCCTTCATAGGCCATCTCCATCATCTAGGTGGCCAACTTCCTCTTGCCCGAATACTGGGATCCATGGCAGATAAATACGGCCCGACTTTCTCACTCCGGCTTGGCAGTCGTCCGGCCATCGTGGTGAGCAGTTGGGAGATGGTGAAAGAGTGCTTCACGATGAATGACAAAACATTTGCTAGTCGGCCTAATACGGCAGTAGCCAAGTACATGGGTAACAACAATGCAATCTTTGCGTTAGCACCTTATGGACCATATTGGCGTGATGTCCGTAAAATGGTTACTCTGGAACTCCTCACTAACCAGCGTCTTGAGAAGCTCAAGCATGTTAGAGCCTCGGAATTCGACAAATGGATCAGGGATTTGTACTCCCTATGCTCAAAGAATGATCGTCCTGATGTTGATGTTCCTACGAAAGTGGTCTTAAACGAATGGTTTGAGCTATTGACTTTCAACCTTATCCTCAGGATGCTTGTAGGAAGGCCATTTTCGACAAGCAGTCAAGGCAACGATAATTCTGAAGATAGGCGTTTGAAAGAAGCAATAAAGAAAATGCTTTATCTTGGCGGAGTTTTTGTTTTCTCGGATGTGATTCCATGGATTGAATGGTTGGACATTGGAGGCCATATCAAATCCATGAAGAAGGCCGGCAAAGAACTTGATGAGGTCTTAGGGCAATGGCTTCAAGAACATATCCAGAAAGCAAAGCAATCACATCCTGAAAGTGAAGCCGTTCACGATTTCATGGACGTAATGCTATCAACAATACCAGAAACTGGAGAAATTTCTGGCCATAAGCGCGATGCCATCATCAAATCAACAACTGCAGTACTGAAATCACAACTCTGTTTCTTGCTAAATTGCCTTAGACCACTTAAAATAAACACACTAACAGTTTTTTACTCCCATTTGTGCTGCCATTTGTTTTTTGGGAAACTTTTTCTTTGACTCACCAAACACCACGGACACATTTTTCTTAGATGATTAAGGCTCTAATTTTTTTCTGTTAAAATTGATGTATTGCTTTGTCGTTTCTATTCCCTTGTCTCTGAAATTGGTTTCAGACTCTTATAATGACAGGGTCAGAGAGCACAGCAGAGACGTTAATTTGGGCACTATCTTTACTACTCAATCATCCAAATATCTTGAAGATTGCACAGAACGAGTTGGACGTCCAAGTAGGGAAACAGAGATGGATTGAAGAGGCCGACATCAAGAACTTAAGTTTTTTACAAGCCATTGTGAAGGAAACATTCCGCTTGTATCCACCAGGTCCATTATCGGGACCTCGCGAAGCCACTGAAGACTGTTACCTAGGCAATTTTTTCGTCCCAAAAGGTGCCCGTTTAATCGTTAATCTCTGGAAACTGCACAGAGACCCCCGAATTTGGTCTGATCCATTGGAATTCAAACCAGAGAGGTTTCTGAATTCTCATGCAAATATCAGCTTAAAAGGGCAGAGTTTCGAGTATATTCCATTTAGCTCTGGAAGAAGAATGTGCCCTGCGGTCAATTATGGGATGAATGTTGTTCAGTTGACGCTTGCACGTATGCTGCAGGCATTTGATATTGCAACACCGATGGGGATGCCGGTGGATATGGGTGAAGGATTGGGAGTTGCCTTGCCTAAGCTAAAACCTCTTGAAGTTCTCCTCACTCCACGACTTCCTGTGGAACTCTATCAGAAACTGTGAATTCCAGGAACATGAACTTGGAAATTCCAGTTTGGCGTAGTTTAGTACATACTAAATACTAAATAAAAGCTGGTCAGGCATTTATCTGCTGGAGAAAGGGTGATTTCTAAAGAGAAAAAGTCTGGGCTCTGAGTTATAGTACAGCTTTGATTAGATATGTTCTCATGTGTTGCTTCAACTTGTATGAAGCTAGATTATCACTTTTTATCGTTTTAGTTATGAAGTCGTGATTCACTACATTCGTAGTATCCTTAAACCCTACCCAAGAGCACATGACAGCATCTCTACAATAATAAAACTACTAAACTAGAGCAAGTGATTTGATGTAACAATTAATCATCACTTTTAAATTATCCTTTAAATAACTTCTCACCACTAATCCACTTCAACTCAATTACTAATATCACAAAACCAATGAAATATATGTTTATTACTTATACATAATCGCTTATAGATAATTGCTTGATTTAATTTTTTTATTTGAATTTTATGACTTTTTTGTATTAATTTTTTATTTACTACTACTAAATATTCTTGTCAGCTAATGAATTTACATTCGTTAATTCTTTTTTTTTTTTCAAACGATAACAAATTTATAACCAAGCAGAAATTACAGAGTTGGAGCAACTGCTCTTACATCATTCTTGGCTAAACTAGTAAGCCAAATTGGAAAGGAATCCTTCCAACTGATTTCGTCATGCAAGCTTGTGGCAAATTTTGCCAGCTTATGAGACACACGATTGCCTTCTCTTTTGACAAAAGAGAAATGACAAATATCAAAATCTTGACTTAAAACCAAAACGTCATTTAAGATGGTCCCCGTGACTGGATCATCCACATTTCTCTCCCTAAGCTTGTCCACCATCAGCTTACAATTAGATTGTATTTCAACTTTGTTCCAGCCACACAGTCTAGCCTTAATCACAACTTTTCTGATAGCTAAGGCCTCCTCCACTGCTGGGGTTCCGTTCCTACTTTCACCACCTGCCCAAGCCCCTACAACCTCTCCATCCTCCTTTCTGGCCGCTACTCCCCACCCAATTCTTCTACCTTTTAACACCAAGGCTGCATCAGTGTTTAGTTTAATACAGCCCTGGGGAGGTGGAAGCCATCTACGTACCCCAGCCACCTGTTCCTTCTTCCTTTCCTTAGCATTAGCCACCCCCTTCCTAACATCTGTATACTCAGCCCACTCCTACACAGCTTTACTAGCTGTTCTCCTAGGGCAGTTACTCCTCTCATCAAACTGCACTTGGTTCCTTGATTTCCATATCTGCCAAAGTATATTCACTGTCAAAGCAATGTGGTTTCTTCCTTCCATTCCGTCCTTTGCTTCCATCAAGCTATTCCACCAAAGCCAAAAACTGTGCCTGAACTCTTTTAAACCATCCCAATCAATTGGAGCTGCCTTCCATATATACTCAGCATGCCTACAAAAGAAAAACATGTGTTCCAAAGTTTCTGTCAACTCCCCACAACAGCTGCATTTATCCTCACCCTTACCTATTCTCCTTCTGATCACCTCATTGACTGGTAAGACACCATGCAAACATTTCCAGATAAAATGTTTCAGTTTATGTTTGATGTCTAACCCCCAAAGCACCCTCCAGGCTTTAGAGTTGGGTTCATTCATGCTATTGCTAGCCTCTTGCTGATCCTTCCTTCTCCATTCCCCCCTCATATCTCTAGCCAGCATATATCCAGTTCTGACAGAATATTGACCAGATTTGGTAAGTGGCCACACCAAATTATCCTTTCCAGCACATAGACTAATTGGAATTCCTTCTATCCTTCTACAGTCCTCCTCACTTAGCAAAGATTCCATCACAGCTCTGCTCCACTTCCTATTCTGAATCAGCTCATGTACCTTCTGGACATGACAACCTGCAGGCCTGTGAGTTGCCACCATACCCGTTCCTCCCTCTGGTATCCACCTGTCCTTCCATATATCCACTGTTCTACCATCCCCTACTCTTTTCCTAGCTCCTCTTTCCATCACCTGCCTTGCACTCATTATGCTCTTCCAGATCCAGGAGTCACCTGCCCTTATCTGTGTTTTCCAAATAGATTCCCTTTTGAAGTACTTCCCCTTTAATACCTTACTCATCAACAGATTAGGCTGTGTCAGAATCCTCCATAACATCTTAGCCAACATGGCATTGTTAAAATCCTGCAAATCCCTAAAGCCCAAGCCACCCTTCCCTTTAACAGCAGCTAACTTTCCCCATCCTACCCAGTGAGTCTTCCTCTTCCCTTCACTCTCCCCTCACCAAAAGCGAGCCATTTCTCTACTTATATCCTGACACAAGCTCTTAGGCAACCTACAACAATTCATAGCATAGGCAGGCATTGCTAATATCACAGATTTTAACAACACTTCCTTCCCAGCCTGACTCAACAATTTTTCTTCCACCCCTTAAGCTTCCCCAACACTCTTTCCTTGATATAGCTGAAAACCTGATTTTTAGATCTCCCAATAACCATAGGTAACCCAAGATACTTGCTCTGGTCCACCTGTTTCATTCCCTCTAGTATTCTGAGGATTTCTGCCTTATTACTCATCTCAGTGTTTTTACTGAAAAAAATAGAAGATTTATCTAAATTAATCTTCTGTCCTGAAGCTGCTTCATACATCTCCAAGATTTTCATCACCTGTTTAGACTCTTCTATACTAGCCCTACAAAAGATGAGGGTGTCATCTGCAAAGAACAAATGAGAAATAGCAGGACTGGCTTTGGCAATCTTTAGTCCTGTCAGACAATGGTTGTCCAATGCATGCTTTAACAGACTAGACAGACCTTCAGATACTAATAAGAATAGGTATGGGGATAGTGGATCCCCTTGCCTTATCCCTTTTGAAGGCCTAACCCAACCTTTCTTTTCACCATTCACATTAAAAGAATACCCAACAGAAGACATACATTTGAAAATCCAATTTATCCAAATCAGACAAAATCCCATTTTTTCCATCATCTTAACAACAAAAGGCCAGTCTACTCTGTCATAGGCTTTAGCCATATCTAATTTAAGAGCCATATACTCATTAGATCCTATTCTTCTGTGATTTAAACAATGAATACTTTCATGAGCAATCACAATATTATCAATGATTTGTTTGCCAGGAATAAAAGCAGACTGATTACTACTAATGCAATGTTGCAGAAAAGGCTATAACCTGTTAACAAGAATCCTAGAAATAATTTTGTACACGACATTACACAAACTAATAGGCCTATATTGAGACACAGAGATAGGAGATTCAACTTTAGGAATTAGAGTGATAATAGTCTCATTAATAGCTTGCAGTAAATGACCAGAATGAAAGAAACTAGAGATGGCTGCAATAAGATCATTTTTTAGTACATCCCAGAAATACTAAAAGAAAAAAGGAGTCATACCATCAGATCCAGGGGCCTTATTGGGATGTAAGGAAAAGGCTACTTTCTTGACTTCCATCTCAGAGACTGGTTTGGTGAGCTTGTTGTTCATCTGATTTGTAATCACTTGTGGAATACCCCTGAGTATTGCATCAAACTGCCTTGGATTACTGGAAGTAAAGAGTTTCTCAAAGTACTCATTAATTTCCCCTTCAAACTCCCTCTCAGATTCACACCAAGTACCATCCTCCCTCTAAAGAGTAGTTATACTATTCCTCTTTCTTCTTCCCTCTACCATAGAATGGAAATACCTAGTGTTCCTATTCCCCTCCTTCAGCCATTGTACTCTGGCCTTTTGCCCTCAGTAAGCCTCTTCCTTCCTATAAGCCTCAGTGAGTTGTTTTTTCAGGGTACTCAACCTTCCCTTTTTATCCACTTGCTGTCCTATATTAACCTCTGCTATTTCCTCCTTAATCCTACTAATTTGTGATTTAGCATTAGCATTGTATTGCCTCCTCCATTTTAATAGTACCATCCTACACTCTTTAATTCTCTTTTGAAGCCTAAAACCTCTAGACCCCACCTGTTGTTTCCCCCAAGCTGTAGTAATAATACCCTTAACCTCCTTGTGCTGCACCTAATTTTTATCAAAGTAAAATCTCTTTTTCCATTCCCTATGTTTTGGCTCAGTATCCAGTAGCAACATACAATGATCAGAAGCCTCATTATGCAGGTGCACACACTTAGCTTTGCCATGTTCCCTTCTCCAGTCCCAACTACACAGAACTCTATCTAATCTTTCCTTGACCTCTCCATCCTCATCCCAATCATTACACCAGGTCCAGGAATCCCCTCAAAGCCAATATCAATCAACTGGTTGTCATTAACAAATTCCTAAACACTCTAAAACTGCTGTCACTTCTCAGCCTCCCACCCCATTTCTCTTCACTAGACAATATATCATTCATATCTCCTGCCAGGATCCAATTCGAACCCCAAATTGTAGATCTATTTTTTATAATTTTCCACTGCTGTGCTCTTACTAAATCTATACTACTAGCATAGACCCCAATAAACCACCAATCTGCCTCATTCCCCTTCCCTACCACATTAAGTTCTATAGTGAACTCAATGAACAGAACTCTTCTAACTACTATCTCCTTCCTCCAAAGTACAGTCAAGCTTCCAGCCATACCTATTGGGTCAACCACAAAAAGACTATCATATTTCAACCTCCTCTTAATCTTATTCATACTGCTTTTTTATTTTTTGTTTCGACTAGAAAAATAATCTCAGGGGAGTGGAGTCTCATAACCTCCTCCATTTGGGAAACTGTCAAGGGGCTCCTAGCACCTCGACAGTTCCACACCACAACTCTCATTGAGGGCTGGAAGCCCCATTAAGGTTGGGCTCCACCACCTTCAAAAGGTCCTCTCTACCAACTCCCCCTGCTATCCCCTTTAATTTTTTCCGTACTCCAATCACTAGCTCCCCACAATTCTCCTTCCCAACCATATCCCCTTGTTTCCTCTTACCAGAATCCTTTTCTATATCCATTCCATAATTTTTATCCCCCAAAGGCACTCTCCTCCCCACTTCCTGCACCAACCTCCTCCAGCCTCTACTTCCCCTATACTTCCCAGCTCCCTTCCCTTTTTCCTCCTCTCTCCCCCTACCTTACTCACCCTTTTCTCCTTTTGCCCCCATCAATCCATATTGTATCATCCTCCACCTTTTCCAACTGACTCCCGGTCCTCTTACCAGAACTCAGCTCCCTCTCTCCCTCTCCATTCAATCCAGAATTCTCTCCTTCCATATTCAGGTTAGTATTAGACTTTTTTTCCACTTTCTTTTCCACCATGCCTTCCCCA